AAAAAAAAACAGCTGATCACTGAAAAACGTATGGAAAATGCTTCAACTTTATAGCTGAATTACTTATGATTCGATGTGTTCATGGTCCCTGACCAAATTTTTAGTTGCTGCATGCTGAACCCAAGAATTCTAAAAAATATAGTGAAACAAGAGCCACTTATAGGGAAAGTGAAGAAAGTCTGCCAAATTCAAAACGCAATCAACAGGTAGAAAAAAAAACTGACCGGACATGCATTATTTACATTGAATCGTCCATATCTGTCAATACAGAATAGCCGAGGAGGTGGTTGCAAAATCGACTGCCCCTAAACCAGTGGAAAATTACTGGTACGTTTTACATCACTATAAAAGGAAACAAACAGATCAGTGGCGATGACATGTACATGGCGGGTTCTGTGAACGGAATTCAACTAAGTGGTTACAATGCCACGAAGGTTTAGCGAGCAGATCGATCACTGTCGATGGGAAAGCAATTCAGCCGTAAAGCTGATCGTCGCGTTCTGGCGGGCGTTATTTTGGACTATTTCTTGCCCCGATGCCTGCCAGCAGACCAACACCAACGGACAGTGATCAGTTGCGGTAATTTAGCTAAATGTTTATTCAAAGTCGGAGTTAATCCGCTTTCGTCTGTTTACTGGTATTTTTTCAACCGCAATCGGTCTAACGGCTACCAACGATGTGGCAGTTGACAAGCTGATCAAGCAGTTATTACAGAAAGACTATCTAACGTTCTCAGACTCCTCCTTGCTTACCCAGCCAAGGGAATGAAGATTTCGTTGCTTTTCAGAACAGAGCGCTAACACTGTGCAACAGCAGCTTCCGAAAATCTATACTGGATAACGTACTCCACGATTAAATTTCCGTGGAAGATCAAATGGCGATAATCTACAGCGGTACATCTAACAGTGCTCGCCCACGTTTCCCATCGAGAAAGCGATCACTTGGTGAGGAGCGTTACTTCCAAGTCGCGGCATCGCGTACTAGTTGAATGGCGAGATAGAGTCGACGCGCAGCGCTGCAGCATTGGTGGGTAGGGGGGGTCTGTCGTTTGACGCGATCTATTGTGCCGAAAACGTGTCAAACCATGTCGTACGAACCGCCTCCCAGGGAGGGCAACTCGTCCAAACTTTTGAACCACAAGTTTTTCTCAAAAACTGATCAGTGGGATATGCCTTGGATGAGAAGTAGGAACACAACATGTAGTGCTCTTGCGCACGCGGTGTTTTGTGTGTTGATTGTTGACTATGGATGACGAACTGTATCAAGAACAAGTTTTATTTGCCGGATGCCTTGGATGCCTGCGCTTGACTAGAGTCCCACTATTGGACGACGAGGCACCGTGCACGTTGATTGGCACTTAGTTTTGAATGGATGAAAAACGAGAGACATACACGGCTTGCCATCACTTCTTTATCACGCATTGTTCTATCTTATCCTAAGATCTATTATCAACACTGTACCGCGCGGTTAACTGAAGCAGATATATTTTACCTATCAACAAAAATGTAGCATATGAAAGCCTAAAGAATGGAAATACTGAGCTACACCGACACACACTTTAGCGTTATTATATAGTCCGCCAATTACGAAGACCTCGCACATTAATGATTCGGACGAGTTGTCCAACATTGCTAATTAACTTGTCATTACTTGTCATCTCACGTCGGTGACCGCGCCAAACGACCGTGTTACGACGTTTCAGGGCAGCAGTTTATCTGAGGCTGTCACCACAATGTGCGAGTCACTTATATACTATGTGACAGGTGTCATGGCACGTGTTCGAAACTAGCAAGTTCTTACATATCATAAGATCAAGCAATAGCGAAAATGGTCGCGAATATTCGCGACAGACCGCCTGCCTTTCTGAGTCGTCCTGGCGCGGATGCTGCGTAAGTCACCCCGCCTGCAACGCACACAGACTTGTGCGCTGCGGATGCAAGGCGTGCAGGGGACTCAAATCATTTGCTGTAACTTTCATTCTTCAAGAACTAGTGAAAAACCAGCCCAAGCGCTCCAGCATCCAGCGGCAAGACTGTAACTGCGCTAATAATTGGTCGTCAAGAGAAAGATACTGTTAAAACAGTGAAGAAATTTTAAAAAATAACCTTGAAATTCCTCTTGTACCACCGGTAGATCGGTAATCCTTTGTAAGCATCATGGAAAGCTTAAATTAATCGTTTCAACAGAGCTTCAAAGATACAAAGGGACAAAACCTCATCCAACTGACCTTTACTTTTCATATAAGCAATCTGCTCTTCGATGGTGTGCTTTGGTTTATAGAGACCTCTCTTCTTTTCGATATGATTGAAAGCCCAGCCAGCCTGGAAAATATAACTTCGCAGTACAAATAACCAATACATATCCGCATTATATCAAATACATAAGGCCAACGACACGTACCTCTTCGGGTGGAAGCACTTCGCGAAAGTTCTTTTGCCGGCATGCCAACGATGTTGTTTGGAAGAAGCGCCGAGCGGCTAATTGCCCAGTACTCAACATCTGTACCAATAACTTAATTGTTATTATTTTGTATCACTTTCATTATGCCTTCATGACACCACTGCGGACTTTCGGTGGGCGGGGCCAGGCAGCGACGTTATTGGCGCGCCCCTTCTCAGCCCGTCTTCTTCACTGCCACAGAAATCCGGAAGGCCGCCCACCCGGCATTAGCCGACGTGGAACACACAGCTTTTCCAATAAAGATAGGATTCCACCGGGAAAGAAGTAGTGAAAACACTAATAAATTGTTTTATATATATCGCAATAAAATTATAATCATATGACCCTAGAAAATGCGACAAGAAAGAGATAGAAGTGCTCAATATCGATAAATTAGAAGACTATTGACTCGAGAAATGACGGAATGAGAAAGTGAAACAACGCGATCAAATGTTCCATAAAATATGAACAAAATTGCTGGAGCGGAATCGCTTACTACCAATATGATCAACAATTATGCTCTACTAAACGCAAGTATCTACAATATGGATAAGAATCGCTTTACAATAGGTGTAAGCGCCCAGTCGACAACGCTGAGGACGGTCGTCAATACTAAATTATAAGTTCAGGAGAAAGAGCTGGCAAACAGTACCCTCAACTTCGCGTAAAATTGAGTGCGTAGGAGCAGCGAGCGCACACAACACCACTCAGTCTCCGCCCATGCAACTCCTGGCCAGGTGGAAAGCGGAATTAGCATCGCCCTCGGTTTCTGGCCTTACTCCGGAGATTGTGAAAAAGGCGTATAAACAGATTAAAAACACGGGTAACTAAGTCGGCTTGAGGCGGAGGTGGTGTAGTGACAAGTGGCGCGCTTACCACTCGCGCGGCGCCGGGTTCGAATCCCGGGTCGACACCCGCCCAGGCCAAGCCTACCGTCCGGGAACGGTAAATTGGTACC